ATAACTTTCTTCAGTCTGTTTATTTAAAACGTGATGAATAAGCAAAAAGAAAAGGTGCAGAATGGAAAAAGAAAAATGATCCCTTCTCCTTCCTAGAAGTGCTGAGATTACTGGATTGTCCCTAATCTCGCACCAGGAATTAAAATCTTCCTCAGACGCCAATGGCCAAATACATATATGTGCATGTAAGCTTACATGCTTAAGGGTTTATAAGTAGTTTTAAAGTTATAGAAAGGTAGTAAGACGTTTCACTAATATTAAGTTGTCAGTATTTCCTGACTTATTTAATATGCTTTCTAAAAATTATCTAGTTTCTTATAGCATCTTTTCTTTTCTTCTTTTTTTTTTTTTTTTGAAGTAGTTGGGTCAGTGAGTACTGTACCACACTAAATGCTTAATAGATTTGCTATCAAATCATTCTCATGGGGGGTGGGGGGAAGGAAGAAATTAAAAGAAATGCCAGAAACCTAAACAAACAAATAAACAGAAAAAGTATAGAAATTCAGTTCTCCATAAACTCGTGAGGCATTAAACACAGTGGTGTGGAAGCCCGGCAGATTCTAACCCAAGTCTAAGCCCTGCCACTTACTAGCATCACAAGCTATGAGCCTTAGTTAGTTTCTTTATCTGTAAAATGAGAATAACAGTATCTATCGAGGAGAATTGTTATAAGGACTAAATGACATATTTAGAAATGTGAGCACAGTGCATGACACAAAACAACTGCTCATTAGCTATTAATATCATCCATTAACAAGTCAAAAGGCTTTGTTTTCCTGCTCCTGTGATGCATAGACCATCACCCTTTGGGGCTGATTTAGCACAATCTTGACAGGAATTAAGAAGTGCTAAGTAAGTATTTGTTAATAGAGGGAAACACAAGGTGAGTTTCAAGACTCCAGCTTGGGGAAATTTTCTGCGGTGCTTGCTTTGTTATATTCTGAAAAATCTACCGAGGTGGGGATGGGAGACAGCTCCAGAAGTGAGAACTGTAATTTCTTTCAGTGATGTCCTACCAATGCTTCACACCTCAAAGATTTGTTTTGAGTCAGTGGAAACTGTTTGAAACAGAAATGTATTGTTAATAAGCATTTGTTTCCAAATTTGTTGCACACTACAATAATCAAAATATTGCTTTTCTCAACTGTCAGTATTATCAGGAAATGGAAGACAAAATGGAGAACAGAGTGTTATGGCTGAATGTCTGCAGGCCCCAAAAGCGTACGCTGACATTCTAACAAGTGATGTGATGACATTGGGAGGCAGGATCTTTGGGAAGTGATTAGGTAACGAGGGTGGGGCCCTCATAACAGAGCCCTTATAGAAGAGACTCAGAGTGCTCTCTGTTCTATGTCATGTCAGGACACAGCAAGAAGATGACTATCTATAAATCAGGAAGTAGGCCGTTACCACCAACTAAATCTACCAACATAAATACTGAGTACAAATACTGGATGTGCCTTGATCTTGGACTTCCCAACCTCTAGAATTGTAAGAAATAAATGGTACTAGTTTAAGCTACCCAGTCTAAGGTATTTTTGTTACAGCAGCCTGAATGGATTAAGACATAACATTATCTGTCCAAAGTTTAAGTCTTATCAAGGAATGTGATATGAGAAGAACAAGCAGATACACATTATGAAGAACGGTTTTGAAGTGATCACTTAATCTGTAACCCAAATGAAATTGCCCCAAAATGTAAGGTCACAGCTGACTCTGGAGACATAGCAATACTCTCAGATAGGCTCGACACTGCAAAACATCATAATGTGCTTAGATACTCAATTTTTACACGAAAACATAAGCTGCTGTTTACATCAGCCCCAGTGTCCGTGGAGCCTGGAGCTTGGACTCTGACAAAGGCACCGAGGGGTGTTTTATAGAAATGTTGCTTTTCATGGAGTCAGCTGCAAAAGGGATGGTGTATAGAGGTAGATAAAATGTTTTCCACCCTTGTGGGTGAAATCTACAAAATTTGTAACATATACTTGGTTCATTTTCACTACAAAGTTTTTAAAATCTTCTGTCACAGAGTAAAATTTAGGCTTTTGATCTTTGCATTTTTTAAATGTTTACAAGTGACATCTATTTTTTGAGGCTTTTTTAGACGCTCGACTCAAAAGAAAATGATCTAGTAAATCAAATTCCATATATTCAGACACAAGAATACTTCATTCACAAGGCTTTCTATTTTCTAATTTAATTCTGTGGTAAATTTGGAATTAAAATTAAGTTGCAAATTTCAGGTAAAATAGTGATAAAATTTAATAAGCACTAAAATTTCAAGTGAAATCTATTTTACTGAGCTTGGTTCCCTGCTCTCCTGGGATCTCTAGACATAGTAAATTGAAGTGTACAAATCTAATTGGTTGAGACTCCACCTGACTCTAATACAGACTGCTAATGTTTCATTTCTGTTGAGATCTCACATTGAATTTAAGATTTGGTAAGTCTCCTCACCTTTTCATAAAATAGAGGTTTTAATGAGCCATTAAATCATCTCGTGGCAAAATGTTGCCCAACCCTCCCATACCCATACAATCACCCAGGTCTTGTTTTGTTTATGTCATTGTTTAGGTCAGTTTTTTAAAAATCACATATTACAAAAAGAAACAGATACATAGTGATTTGCATATGTTCTGAGGAATGCATCTTGAGAAGAATAAGTAGGTATGCAATACATTTGCGTTTCTAGAATTATATAAGTTCCATCATGACTCTTATGAGTCATCCTAAGGATGAGCAGGATACTGAATACAACTTTTAGTTTAATAAAGCCTCAAAAAGTCAATCTCAATTTATCAATTTATTTAAATTAGGACTTCTAAAAATGTGCTTTAGTCTCTCCCGAACAAATCAGAATTTCTGTGGAAATTTTGAGAACTGCTTTAACCAACCCTTCAATTCTTCTGGAGATCCATTGTTAGAACACAGATTCCCAGTTCACTCTCACTTTCTCTTCTAAAGTACCTCAGGGACCCTTAGCTGCCCCATGCTTGCATTTCTTTCCACAATCTCGAAAATCTCCAGACTACTATGTGGTTTGAAAGTACAGGTTAGGAGCAGTCTACAGTCAGGCAGATGTGATTGACAACAAAATCAGAGAAATTCCCCAGCTGGTCTGTTGCTAGCCCAGTTTATCACATGGTTGTTTACCAAGAGAACTGGTCATCTACTGAGACTACTGAGATGTTAATGTATTATACTGTCAGCCTCTACCAGGGCCATTTATTTGCCCATGTCAGTTTTTTGTCTTTGGTGGTTTTTCTTGCCCAATTAATCTCCAATGACACGTCTGCCAACCCTACACTGGAATTATTTTCCATATTATAATAGCCCTATGTTAATATATATTAGACTTGTTCCAAGAGAACTAAGAAATTCGAGTTCTATTTTTTTTCCTTAAAAACACTGTGCTGCCATAAGCTGGCTACTCTATAAGCAGCTGAAATGTAGTGACAGCTAAGGAAAAGATTATCTTCTCCTTCCTGCTCATTTCAAAGGCTTTTGCCTGAGCACTATTTAGGAGACAAAAACAAAATCGAACCCTTGCCCCTCCACTCCCAAAACATTTCTCCAAAATAAATGAAATCCCTCAAATGAAAGGTTCCAGACTATTTTTAAAAGCTATCTGGGAGGGAAATTAAATATAATTATGGGTCATCTGAAAAACAACATGTCTATAACGCCATTTAATATCCTTCAAGGGCAAAGCTTCCAGAATGTCTCAGAGAAAAATATAGAACTTTTTTTAAAAAACATAAAACCAGTTTTTTAATTAAACAAAAGATTCAGCTCATTTCTAACAAAAATACTGATACTGGAAGTGTCCAGAAATACTTGTGACATTTAGATTATAGATCCTACAACTAAAACAATTTTTTCCTCTTAAAATAATGGGAATTCATATGTAGCCCAGATAATCAATTTTATTATTGCCACATTTCGACTTTTTTTTTCACTTTTTCATTATATTTAGTAGCTATCCCAAGATATACCACTTCTTTTACCATAATCTGACTAAAATCTGAATTTAAAATCATGGTTACTCGTGGAAGGAGAGGCGGAGGGTAAAGGAGAGGGTGAAAAAAGAGAGAGGGGGGTTAGGGAAGGAGGCAGGGTCTCCAGGAGGGCAGGGACATTTATTACTTTGTCCTTAGTATGCAGCACTGTGTCTGGCACATAACAGGGTCACATAAATAGTCAGTGTGTGGGATCAATGTTTATGGAAGACCGGCCAGGCACCAAGGTTTGTACACTTTTGATCCTAGTTAATCCTCTCGATAATCCTATGAAGTCAGTATTATTGTCCCCAATTTATAGATATGGATATTGCCGCAAAATAACCTCAAGATGGCTTAGTAAAAGAAGAAAATGAGTAGGAAAAACCATTCATAGTCATCAAGCCTTACCTCATTGAAAATACACTGAAAAGTGAGATGACTGTAAGTTTGCATGAGAGAAGGGGCATATGTGTTTCTCAGATATATACTATTAGTGACTGACCTATGTAGCACTTTAAAGCTTTTCATCACTAAACATGATACCCTTTGGGTGTGATTTGCATTCTGAGATTCACAAAACAACAGGATTGGAAAAGCAAAAAATTGATGAGAGGTAGGTTGATAATTTAAACATGAGAACAAAAAGTAACAGCAGCACCTACCACTACCAGCCATTATAAGGTGTCAGTCACTGAATATTTTTCAACTAAATTGAGGAAAAATGGATTACCTTTTAAGTCTATTTAAAATGTTTCAGCTGATCTGAAGCGGATTAAAGCAGGGATTTGCTTGTTCAATTTACCTCAAACCCATATGCAAATGGACTCAAACTGTACCACACAGTTATATCAGAGACAATACTTTGTTTTTAAGAAGAGCACAATGTAACTGCAAAGGAATGATGTGTGCACGCACGCACGCACGCACGCGCACGCACGCACACACACGCATGCACGCACGCCCAACAATGTTAAGTGCCAGCAAAGAATTTTGGTAATTACCAGCTGCATTGTAAAACTCACTGTCAGATGTGTTTGTTTCCACTGTTTATCGACTCCTCCTAAGACTGAAAACACTCTGCTCTCTGCTGCCTGCCCCCTCACCATTTTGTCCTTTTCCATTCCCATTGGTTCCTACCACTCCTGCCAAATTACTAACTTCTTGGCCTCTTAAAAGAGAAAGGGAGAATAGAGCAGGATAGAGAAAAAGAGGGAAAGTGTAAGTGTGTGTGCGCACAGGAATGACAGAACTTGGAAGTTCTATCATGCCCCCCAATTTTTTAAACAAAAAACAGACTCTAGGTCAGAGATGGTTGTTATTTCTAATGGTCAGACCTTAGGGAGAACCAGTACCAGGTGCTATAAAAATGGAGACATGTATGAAGGCATTTATTTATTTAGTCAATAGAAACTGACTGATGACTACCTACTACGGTGAAGTGCTCTGCTAAGTAATGGTTATTTGGGAAAGTGAAAGCCCTTGGAGTTGCTTCATAGATATGACAGGAAATTGCAATTCTTAGTATGGTAAATTTTTATTTTAAAACCTAAACTCCTTAGCTAAGTGAATTCAAGAATTTAACAAATATTTATGCAGTTTTATTGATTACTTTCCTCTTGAAATATTCTTGGCTAAGCTTCATGGCACCATGCTCTCCGGAAGTTTTCTTTACATTTCAGACTCCTTTGCAGGATTTTCATCCCTGGCCTGCTATTTAAGTAATGGTGTTCTCTAAAGTTCCCTGGCTTAAGTTTCATCTCTTTACTCTGCATATTCCCCTGAGAGTTCTCATTGCTCCTACAACTTTTAGTATCATCTATATGATATGGAGACAAGATCTGATGACAGCGAATTCTCAATGTCCAATTCAAACTCATTCTGAGATCATACAGGACTCACTCCACTCTTGACACTGCCACCTGGATGTTTCAAGACACCCAAATTCAAAATATCTTAAATTGAACTAATCAAATTCCCTTTACTTCATTAACTAACACCACCATCCATGAAGTTGCCCAATCAAGATGGTCAAGAATCATTCTTAATGCTTTCTTTTTTACTAACAACCAATCTCAAAATTCCATGGATTTTTATATCCTAAGATATATTAAGAAACCACCCACCCCTCTTCATGCTCTCTGCTACTTTCCAGTCTAACATTCATCTCTGGCCAACATTCTCACAAATATCTGCTTAACCGGTCTCCCTGATTTCAATCTTGCCTGCCCCAATATATATATTTGCAATATATGTGTTGCAAATTTGATCATAGCTTCTCCTGTTTCATACCTTTTGCTATTTTCCCAGATGCAAAAGGTAAAATCCTAACTCCTTCAGGAGGTCCTTTAGACCTCTGTTTACCTTCAAACTTTTGTCTTGCCTCTCCTCTCTCAGTCACTACTTTCCACCGTACAAAATTTCTTTTGATTCCTTAAACACGATACGGACGCTCTCTTTTACCCTAGGCCTTCTCATATCCTTCACATTGCCTAAATATGTTCTTAAATTCACTCCAAACTTACCAATTCTGCCTCTTGGTTATCATTTAAATATTGGCTTCCTTTGGGAAGTCTACTTGGATTATCACTCTACCCCAGGCTTGCCCTTCCTACCTTCAAACCCCCTACACTTATACTCAACCTACTATTATCTCCACCAAACGAAAGCAAGTGTATATGATCCCACAGTGACTTACACAATCCCTCTAGTAGCATTTTAAAAATATTTTATTATAAACATCTATCTAACATTCTTTTCCACTAATTCTGGTGTAGAGGTCAAGAAGCTATCCGATAAAAGCAGCTTGTCTTTGTATCCCCAGCACCTAGTACAGTGTCAGGCACCGAATTGGTGCTCGATAAATATTTGTTCAATGAGTAAATGGAGCACCTTTTAGTTATAGAAGACTGGGAAAGGTTTAGAGATAAATGAACTCCTATTACCCTTAAGGAAGATAACATTAAGTGCAGAATGTCTGTTATACAAAATTATATGATGATAATGAGTAAATAAAATTGACTCTAAGTTGGAGACATGGGGTTTTGCTAACACTGTAAATTGGAATTAAATATTTAGCTCTCCCTTCTGGGATAACTGAATCTACACTAAAAAATTCTGGAAGACAGTTTTATGATTTTATATTACAGATGAGAAAATAGGCACGGCAAAGTTAATTGAGTTACTCAAGGTTACCCAGTGAATCGGAAGCAGAGAGAGAGAACTTAAAAGTCAAAGTTGTCAATCTCCATTCCTCAGTGCTATCATTTTTTTAAAAACTACTTTGACTTTTTCTCCCCAAAGTTCTTGTGTGATTGTAGGACTTCAACCTACATACTTTAATAGTCTTCTCCAAACTATCATCTGTGATATTTATATTTCAATATGGAAACTCAGGAATGTAGGCACTTTTTGATATATTTTCTTGTAGTCTTTAAAATGAAAGGCTTTCTATGATGTGTCTCTGCACTCTTGTGCACTCTGAGAGGTGTCAATTCCTTCTTTGTTCTTAACAGAGTATTAGTATTAGGCACTAGTTGCCACTACTAAGTGCCACTACTAAGAGGGATATCATATTAGATACCTTATATTTATAAATGCACATAGTTAACTAGCTGGCGCATTCTATTGCATTCAATGGACATTTCAGTAGAAAATGCTGCCAGTATTTAATAAATATTTGAGAAGCAACATAGGCTATTAAATTTAACAGGATTACTGGTTCCAATATTCATATGGTGAGAGAAATAAACTTAAAAAGGTTTGTGCTGTCATTTCAAAAGACCAACTATATACTACGTACTCAATAAAGATGTTTATACATGATATTCTAGGGTCGATGGCAAACACAAGGCATGACCAAAATGCCTCGAAAATGCTTATTACCTTCTCAATATACCCACAGAATCTTTGCTTTTTTAAATATATATAACAACAAGCAATACTGACAATAATTTCTCAGAGATATGCAGGGTGAGCATGCACAATGAGATTTTTCCTAGTCCCAGATGGGACCAACCAGGGCTCTTTCTTATTATACCTGTATATAGCTCAATATACTAAAGAATTTAATCTGTACAAAACCGTGGCTAACACGTGCCATTTTTGATAGATATACAGAACTCAACTTCTCTTGACCATTTTCAGATAAATTACACAATTTTCTCTTATCAGATATAGTATCAGATAGAAGAATCCCCAGTTACAGAGCATTTCCCTTGCTCTTTGGGCTTTGCATAACCCATCCTTCATTTGCCAAAAGCAACTATCTGTAGCCCTAAAGCACTCAAGCCAGCTCATTCTATCACTCTCTAGCCTCACCTTGCATCTCCAGGCCCAAGAAGAACACTAAATGTATTTACTGTTCTTAATCCATATTGTGACATTAACTGAATTGGTTCTGTCATGTGAGTATAACTGATTATGTTTCCCCTAATAAAGATAGGCACTGAGTTATCGTGTGTACAAGTCAGCCCAACGTAAAAGAAAGAGAACTTCTGTCAGATGCCAAGTTAACATCAACTGCTTGTACCATGGAAATGTCAATTAAAATTCTAGAACAAATTTTCAAGCACAATTTTCCAATCCAAGAAATGTGTATAAATCCATAGTGAACTGAGAGGCATACAAGGTAAATCTTAAGTTCGATGTATGTGTTAATATTCTTGGTTGGTCATTGGTAGATGACATTCGTGGAGTCAGAATACTTTTGACTTTCACTTGAACATGTAGATTCCATGAATTCATCCTCATTCATCAGCCCTGTTTGGGGGTAAATGACTTTGCAAAGATGTTGCTTTCATTTCTTAATGTTACAGCTCCTCATAAGCTATACCAAGGAATAAATGTTCCTTTCAAGAGCAGCATGAAGGCTGAGTTGGCTTCCTGCTTTAGGAGATTATGAACGCTCTCAGACACTTCTAAAAGGCAGCAAATTCCAACTTGGGCTTTAAAGTTCTGACATTTTCTTTTTACTCCATTTGCCACAGTGGTCTGAAAGTGACAATATTAAAAGCTAACGGACCAAAAAGCAAATGTTTTTATCCCCAGGACATCTGCCCTATTGGAGAATTTACTTTACCTGCAGAGATTCCATTTCTTCATCTTTTCTCTGGGTCTCCTCCAGCAGATCTACAATAAGAAAGCAAAATACCCATTAAAATACAATGTAAAAATGGCTTGTCCTCTTATTATAAAAAAGAATTCAGTCATTAGCTTGTATAAACTGGTGCCTGTTAAGAGAATTTGATGTTTAAGTGTGAGAAGCAACGTAGAAGAAATGCTCTCCCATGCCAACCCGATGAGATGCGGCAGGGCCCTGCCAAATCTAAGCTAGCTGAGAAGCCCTGGGGGGTCCCAGCATTGGTGGAGATAACAGAGAGTAAGACCAACGCAATTACAAATCCGAAATCACACCCACATCTTAGAAATTTGGTCCAGTACTTATATAACTTAAAAGTAACACAAAATCTTTTTTTTTTTCTTTTGAAAGAAAAATTAGAAACAAACCATTTGCTCTTAAAATAAACTGCCAAGTCAAGTTCCACCTCCAGAGTCAATTTTTATAGCCAAATTAAAACACCCTGGAATAATGGGTGTTATTAATGGAAGTAGAACACAACCTTAACTGTAAAGTTATATTAATTATCATTCACACCAAAAGGGTGGGAAGCATTGAAGCTAGATCTGACCAAGAGTTTGGCACCATCTCAGAGGAATTAGTGGCTGGAAGGGAAGGTAGTCAACTAGGCAGAGTTCTGTCTAAATGCATGTGTATAGCTGTGCTATCTCAGCACCCTACATTAATTTATGAACTTGATATATATATATGCATTTGGCAAGTAGAATTTTCTGCCTGCAGCTATACCACCCTGCGCTATGATCTTATTAGATCTCAGAAACCTAAAAAGGGCTGGGCTGAGTCAGAACTTGGATAAAAATTGGCAATAAACACCTACAGCAGTGCACATTAATATTAGTATTTGCCTTTCTCTGTGATTGACATAGCTTACCAAGAGGCTGTGCTATATAAAAGGAAAATATAACTTACAGAAATTCAATATATATCCAAGAAAGGCAAATGCAAATGTTTTAAGCAAGTGCTACACTAGATGCAGCATGAAGTAGTAATATAGTGGGGAACCAAGTCATGCTTGGTGTACGTCATAACTCAGCAGGCAATATGCCAAAACTTCAGGAGACCTGGTAGATGACATAACTGATGGTGATGGTCCTTTGAGACTGCATGGCTAAGAGAGATGCAGAGGAGTGGCAAGCAATCCTCTCAAGACACAATGTGCTGGCATTAAGGATAAGAAGCAATTTTTGCTCTGTTTCCCACAGGGGAGCTGACTTTGGCTCCCCAAACTCCCATAACCAGAGTTTCATCAACAAAGTTAGAGGAGTATAGCAATGTATTAAGTGTACTTTTAAATGGGGTTTTGGTTGGCATATGTTCTTTAGCTCTGTGGTGCAGAAACCAACTTGGGTGTGTAGATTAAGTGCCTTCAAACATTTCTTATAGCCTTACTCATTTGCATTGTGACACTGTAGCTACTTTCATCACGAGGTCACGAGCACCAGCTTTCCACATCTTACACGTAGGTTGGCCTCCTGACTTGATTTGGTAGATAGAACACAGCAGAAGCAACTTTGTGCCAAGCTGCATTGAGCGTTGAAGAAGCTTTGCATATTTTCACTTTTCCACTTGGAACTCTGTCACTACCACATGAACAAGCCCAGGCCAGCCTGCTAGATGACAAGAGACACATGGTCCAGGACTCTTCCCAGCCCTGACACACCACAGGTTGCCCCAACTGGCAGCCAGCAAATGCCCACAAGCAGAGCTGCCCAGCTGAGCCCAGTGCCAACTCCAATCACGAAATCGTGACCTAAATAAATGGAATTTGGGGATGGTTTGGTACTCGGTGATTGCTAACTGATAGCAACAAGCATTCAGAATTTATGAGAAAGCTACAGGAGTGACTGTTAGAGATGTGGGAAAAAAGGATCCAGATTTTGGAGAGAGTAACAACTGGTCTGGGTGGGGAGGGCTGTAGGGAGCGTGAACTAATGGGCATTTTATCCTGGGTGCCTTCAATCTTTGTGTCACTCCACTCAAGATAAAATTCCACAAAGAGAAGAACTATGAGCCTAGCTTAGCCCTCTTGCCTACTGCCTGGCTCGCGGAAAGCTTGGAGTGCTCTCGTTGATGATTCCAAAAGGACTGGATGAAGAAAAGAAAGGAGAGTGTCCAAATGCAAAATAAGGGTACTGTTAGCAGGAGGGGTGGATACCAGACAAGGCGAAACAACAGATGCCCACTCCAACTGGTTTCGGTAAATTATGTCTTCAGCACAACTGTCTTCAATATTTGTGAGATGTAAGGTCACTGTTGTGTCCCTATGTGAATGTGGCTATTTTGCTACACTACTTTTGGATATGCAGAGGTTCTCAGAGCTGGGCCCCTTGTAATAAGTTGCGTTGTGTAATGGTACAACGGAGCTGTAGTAATGGACAGTGGGGTCTATTGACCATTATAGGACATTTATCTTGTTCCTCCAGAGTCACCTTGGTATGGCAAACATCAAACACATAAGCTAAAACTTACTGGACAAATAATAGATATGGGATCTCTTATACAGCCAAACTCAACTCACACTTCTGATAAAATAAAGACGTGAAGTTCAGTCTACCCTCAGAACTTCATAGTAGAATCACTGCCATTAAAAAATTACATTCTCAGTTTCCTCCAAACACATAAAAGGCACAGTGCTCTTCCAACAAAGCTGACACCAACAGCAATGCTTGATTTTGGATGGCTGAACAAAAACAACTACAAAAGAATTCTTAGAATTGGTATTTAAAATACAGAACTCCCCTTCTTTTCACCCCTACTGACCCTTATTTCAGCTTTTATCAAGAGTATAAGTAGACACCTGTTTTTGTTTTTTTTCTCTATGCCACACCCCTTCCCTGTGAGAACTTCCCATTTCTCTTCTTTATTTGATTCTTGTGAAATGTTCAGTCGAGGGTCCTAATTAAGTTTTTCTGACACAAAAGTAGGTCACTACAAGGCTGGCCAGTCGGAGCACCTGACATCCCAGAGTGTATAAACTAAGCAACAACGGCAGGAATTCTTTTCCAGAGACTAATACGAATACTGGGAGAGAACCTCTCTCCTTCTGAAGCAGCGAGCTTACATTAGCTTGATGCTTCCAAGGCTATATTTTCTACTGTGTAAAAGGTATTTTTTACCTGTACAATAGTGAAGCTGGCAAAGAAGAAAGCAGAGCCAAGAGACAGAGAGAGTTGGTTAAAGACAAGATCAGCCCTGCCTGAAGCACACATAACTCCTAGACTTGTAACACACTTTTTTTTCTTTTACTTAAATTAACTTTAGTTGGACTGCTGTCATTTTAAAAAATCTCTGGGGATGTGGTTGTATTAAACCTTCTTATCGCTATTCAGAAACTTGGAGAATTTAGAGTTAGCAAGAACTTTCTATTCTACAGTGAAATGTTTCATTCTACAATAATTAGATGAAGACACGAGGTTCAAAGAAGGCAAATGGTTTTCCTGAGATTACCTAGTTAGTGCAAGAGCCACAGCTAGAGCTTTGCTCTCCTGTCTTCCTGCCCCATCTATCATATCAAGCTCTCATCTGTACCACTCAGTACTTAACTGTAGCTTTGTCCATACTGTTATTTTTTTAAATACACGTTTGTATTTCTCTCATTTCCTTTAGGAGCTCTCTGATGTCAACAACCAGAGATCTGAGGTCTTTATATCCACATCCGCCTTACCTACTGCTTCTCTATCCTTGCTCCTTACCCTACATACCCAAAGTTGCCTTCTCTGCCTATATCGCTGCTCCATGCAATTGCTCACTTGTTAGGTGCATTGTGCAAGTATGTGCATTTGAAATGATTAACAGGGTTATTAACCTGTGCTGATGAAGTATGGCTACTGGGAATTGCTGAGAAGTGACTATTCTACTGTAAACGTACTCAAGATGAGAGATGAAACCACTAAACAGTTGAAGTGACATAATGCTTTGACATCTGAGTGTGATTAGTGTACCTCATTATAATGAGCCATGTTGTTTGCTCTTACCAACTTTAGAACAAATGTTCAGCATGGAAAAAGCTAAAAGGCCCCTCTGCTTCCTCACTCACCACTGGCACGTTCATGTTTTGCTTTATTATTCTCTGATTTGCTGTTCAATACTAACAGCAATTCAACTGCCATGCAAGTCGCTGCAGCTAAATGTGCAGACATCAACATGAATGAAAGTTTTTTTGTTTTTGTTTTTGTTTTGTGAAAAGGGCAGCAGTCCTGTGTATTTTCCTTGGACTGGCTCCATCTCTTTAAATGAGACGATACTATCTTATTGTGACATAATCATTAGAGGGGGGGAAAAATCCCATTTAAAAAAGGAGACATGGATGAGAACTGGAGGATCCATTTGTTTTCTTTTTGTTTTGTTCCTCTTTGCATTTCTTTGGAACACTCAGGGTAACATATCATGACCGTGTGTTTGGCTAAGACAGTCTTGTACCACTTGCTTCGCAGTCCTGCGACTAGTGGTCTGGCTGTTTAAAGGATTTTTGACATCTTTTGATATTGACTCTGGTTCCTGGTAGCCAAGGAAGTAGGTAGATTGTTCATTTATTTGCTTTTAAAGGGAGAATCATGTCCAGGTATATATGAGCAACACTCCCTCCTACCAGTTTGAACCTTCATAGACATGTTGGTGGTCAAGTTTAGAAATGAGCTTTTTCCTTTCACCTTTAGTATAAAATATTTCATCCATACTATAAGTTACCCATCTGGTAACAGACAGAAAGTTATAAAAACGGCTTGAAACAAAACAGCATTTACAACAACATCAGTGGACACAGTAGCCCTGGCAGCAGAATATGGTGAATTAACGATTGCAGTTTAGAGAAAAGCATTTAGTGTCTGGCTCCTATACCTTGCTTAATAATTCAGTATCCTTGTTCAGTGCTACTATATGTGTCCTGATATTCACCTAAAACAACAGATAATGTAAATTCTCAAAAGAATTCAATACTTTTTAAAAACTTAATGTGAGCTATTCCTCTGGGTGGCAGGCACGGAATAATGAG